AGTTTATTTCTGCAGGAATTCATTGCTATTAAATATTCATGATGCACATATTATAATGAGGTGGGCGCGGAAATACGTGCATAATGAGGTCAACATGGTAAAGGTCACACTGCAGACACAACATGGCGGCACGTTGAAATTAGAGTTTGTCGTAGTCCTCATTTCTAATTCATCACAATGTGTAAAAAAGTAACTCTTACTAGTCCTAGAATTAAAAAAATATCGACTGCTACAATCAGCCGACGTCTTCTCGGTCAGAGGTCAGTTGAAGAGACGCTGTGATTGGCTCAGATGATTGTCAATTAGAACACTCATTAATATAATTACTCGTTGAAAAATCGACAGGTTCCTGCAGTGTCGATAGTGGGCCATGCAGAGTAAACCAGTCCGGGTGATTTCGCTGTTACAAGGGATTTTGCGCTAACACCTCCATTTTGCAATTTATTTAATTTTACTTAAACTACAAAAACAAATTAATTGCCCCGACTGCGCCAGTCTACACGTATGCTTGCATCTACAGAAGCCCAGTAAAATGCGAGTGGTTTAGTGAAATGCTTGGTGTACTAGACATGTCTGTCAGTAATAAATTATTTTTCATTAACTCACTTGAGCTAACAAGTCGCAAAGGAAGTCATTGAATGTTAAATTGTTCATTCCCTAAACTGTCTTGCCCCAGTCCTTTCCCCCTCATGTATTACTGTAAAATACTTTATTTTAGCTTGAATTAATTTTTGCTAAAAAGACTTTTCGTGTGTTTTGTATGGAATTTATTTTCACTGATTTGGATGAGTTAAATGTAAAATATAGAAAAAAAAGGTATATTCACTCAATTTTATTTTCACTGAATAATTACTTAAGGTAGCGAGAAGGGTTTTGTAACGTTTTCGAATAAAACATTCTCTGTCTGTTGTCTCGTTCAGAACAGTAATTTAGCTTATATATTTCAAAAGACTAAGTATAGAGGTACAAGTTCGTACAAACTGGACAGTCATTGTTTACATAATGATCACGTGACATCAAAAGTGGCGAACCTTGTAAAAATGACTAAGTCCGCGATTGCGAGAGCACACTGGGGAATTTCCTGGTGAAATTTACGTCATGCATTGTCCGTAATCAAGTCCATTGAAATGCGTCTCCGATAATCAAAAGACCTATTATTACGATTTATATGCAGGTTTGTTTTTTTGTCCCCAAATAATTTCATACTTGACACCTTTAACAGACTATTATTCTGTGACAAAGCATTTTCTTTAAAAACCCAGACATATTTCGCACCATCATTATCTTTTGAACGATAACTGCGAGTTTGAATGTCCTAGTCCAAACGCACTTGATTTGGCAGCGGTCCCAATGAGTCGTACTCAGTCAAAACTTCAACTCGAGAAAAACGCGAAAAACAGTTTTGGTTAATAAAACACTGTAGATTTGCTGTATTATTATAAATATACACTAACAGTGACCAAACATATTAACCACTGATATCATAGAACTCTACAGAGTGTCAGATAATGAATAATTTCAAGCTCGAGCGTGCAAAAATGAAGAAAACTGCTGGCATTTGAGACCGTACTCCAGGAACGTTCGGGTTTCTATTGTTATGCAAACGAACAACTAGGGATAATCCTCTGACAAACACTACTGTCCCACTACACGCTGACAGTTTACAAACAAGCTAATCCTTCAAGTGTCTCTTATAAAAGATCTAATAAAACGGTTTTCATGGTGAAACAAAATGGCAGATGTTTGAAAAGAAATTGCTGTTTCAAAGTGCGACACTGAATGGCAGATTTTTCTTTGCCTCGTCTGTCAACGCTTTCTTTCCTTCGCCATTGCGTTAGAAAAAATGGTATTAGTAAAATAGAATATTGACTTGGAAAATAAAACGATTTAAAAGAAAGTTGTGCAAAGTTACCGTACTTATTTCGTACAACCTCCCACACGCTTCTCCTTTCCAATCACATTTTTCTCTCGCTTTTGCGACCGCTTGTTGAATTCGACCAGACAATTTCTGCTTTGTTTTCGACCGTGCAAACCCCGAAATATCGGACTAAAAGAAAAAATTCCGAGGTCCACATTGTCTAATAATTGTCTTTCTGGTTTTTATAATGTTAAACAGCTGACAAAAGTTCAAATACTTTTTGTTTTAACTATCTATAATTATATGCACGCAATCTGACCCTTTGACCTCGATTTGGCTTGGACTGAATATTTTATTTTAAACAATATTCTGACGTGAAATACAAAATGTATTTCAACACAAGTACGACATGGTTGTCTGGTTTTTTGTTCCTGATTGTCGAGTCTTCGCGATGTGTTTTGTATAATTATTGTTGTTTAATAAAATAAAATAATAAAAAATATTACATCTAGAACAAGCATCCAAAACACGTAACAAGAGATTCCAGTTCAGTTTCTTTCACGATACAAGTGTAATACAACTATTAGATTTGAAGTGTCGTTCAGAATTTAATAACAGTTAATACTAGTATGTTCACACTTTACTATCAAAACCACCATTTCGATCACTCATGTGCCAGTGATCAGTGTTTGGGTGAGCGGTCGGTGTTTCAATGAGCGAGCGAGCGAAAAAAAACGCGATTAAAATGCGGTCGGTTTCCGGTCGGACAAGACCGCATGGTCGG